ATATGTTTGTTTACATCCCTGTTTGTTAAGAAACTGCCCAACTATCAAAATTGTTGGCGCGATTTCGTGGAATTTCATTGCAATTATATCGTTGTATGTTATGTACATTGTAAAACTTAACACTTGCATACTAATGGCTAAGCATGTACCGTAATTTAAATAGTATTCTTTATAGAAAATGCCTACGATGACAATTTTCCCTTATAAGTCGTTAGAAGCGATGTAAAACATTTATTTCTATATTATATGCAAAACACGTAGTGTTCGTTGTTTAAGGAAATTTTAACTGATTTTAAATTAGAAGAATATGTAATTTAAAAAAAAAACATAATGGTACAAATAAAGACTTTTCGTCCAGATCACAAACAACATCTGCATTTTGATTCTTAATCGAGAATGGATGTACATAGATATCCATGAACCTCAGCATTCACTTGACATCAGGTGTCGTCGGTTGTCACCCTTATTCTATTTAAAAAAAACAGAACGAGCACAAACTATTGTTTGCTAACAAAAGTCAACAATAATTTAATTATATATTATATATATACAATATTTTAATTTACAAATTTCTTTTGCATACATATAAATTAAGCAACTATAAATTAATATCACCCAGAAAAGGCCAGAAAGACCTCATAGTCTGCGATAGAGCTGTATGATCGCGTATTGCGAAACATTCAAAGGGGCGATGAGCTGCAGCGTTAATTTTGCGAAACATGTGGTACTGTCACTGCCAATTCGCCTACCAGGCGTTAGACTTAAGCGACAAATGTTCAAATGAAAAATTGTGAAAATATTGATAGGTAGGATAGGCTAGTGCATAGCCGCACAATCACAAAACATATCCTATGAGTCGCCTTCTACGACATGCTAGGCGGGTATTATAGCTGACATAGTTTTTTTGTATAAGACCCTCATAAACATGGGACACATAAGTCTTAAGAATTTAAAATATTACCATGCAATTTTTTATATAATATATGTCATAAATGATCTCACCTAATAGTAAGTGTGACTTCAGACAAAGGCTTCAGGTGATACCTCGAAAATTTGATCGTTTCCCTATTTTACATATTTTAAGTTTTGTAGATTATAAACCAAAATTTTGGTATATGATTTTTGACTATAAGACCTTAGTTTGCATAAAAGTAAAACACGATATCATGTAATTTTCTCGATAGAAAAAAATTGAAAATTGGGATCTAATTAGTTACATTTCTCCATTACACTACAATATTCTTACGAATAAATTCATGTATTATAAATTATTTTTAAGGCATAGTATATAAAATAATCATACCTAAGTTCTTATAAACCACTTTTAATCCATAACGAAGTTTTGTTACAAAAAATAAAAAAGTTGTTTGGCGCTTACCTAGGTTTTTTCCAAGCGTGTGCTCGGTATAGCTATCTCATAATTTGCGTATTATGAAATCATTGCATCACTTTCATTTTGACACTCCCTCAGTCATCCGTTGCCTTCACCGACAAAGGATTACGCCCCCAAAACTAAGATTCATTTTTTAGGTATCCTCTTCATTCGCATTATCACTTTGAGGCCACGACAGTACTCATGCATCCGGCGGCTCACTTACCAGTGGATGCAAGGCGAATCCCTTACCCTCTGTGTTAAAAATATAAAAGGACCTATCAAGAATTATAACATAATATGCTGAGGTGCGGCTAGTGTCACTTGAGGCACCCGAACGCCACAGTATTTATAAAAATAAAATCTAGGCACAATGGGTAATGCAGTAATTTTACGGGATATTATATAAATTAGTTACAAATTAATGCAACTGGCGCACTAGTAAACAGGAATTCCTCCCTGTGCGTGAGGAATTCCACACGTGGGTGAACCCAATGAGCACACGAGTCGCTTTTCTTGAAGACTAAAATTAAATGCCTTATAGCTTGTAATAACACAGGCTCCTCCCTTCAGCCACTGTTCAGCGCCGCTGCTTGGCAACAGAAATAGTTAAAAAGGCGCACTGCTGAACAGAGCCGTGGTAGATCAGATGGTTAACGCTCGCTGTAAATATAACAGAACGCGAGTAACCCGGGTTCGATCCCCGCCGGCACCAATGAAATTGTTAATTGCAATTTTAAGTGCTGATTTACCACGCGCGCGGCGGTGAAGGAAAACATCGTGAGGAAACCTGCATGTCTGAGGAATAAGAAAAAAAATATTTCGAAGACGTGTTGAAGTTCCCTAACACGAATTGGGGCAGCGCGGCGGACACTTTCTTGCCCTAAAACCCTCTCAGAAAATAAGAGGAGGCTTGTGCCCAGCAGTGAGACGTATATAGGCTGTAACTTTGCTTTACTGAAACAGAAATATTTGACCAGAAAACAAGCCTGCCTTGTAAAAGTGAATGTGTCTATCAATTTAAGAACGTACGTTGTATGTCGTAATGAAGACTATATAAACGTTATTGGAAATTCTGTTTCATTAAATATTGCTATTTCATTGCAGTAACCAAAACCTTAACCCAACCGTAACGACAAAGCGAGCGTCTAAATCACAACACAAACGAGACTCGGCGCGGATAAATCAACACAAAGTTACGCGGCCACAAGTGGATAATTTTCATTGTAATCGCGCTACCGTCCCCCGTTCCATCCGCAGAGAGTCGGGGCACACGTCCAACCGGGCAAGTTTCAATAGCCTCCGTATTAGTTTGAAACCTAATTGTTTCGCGCAGCCCGCGGCGCGAACGATACGAAGCCTCCACAAATATTATGCATGTTTAATTAACGCCATTCCCGATTCATAATCCGACAGTGATAAATTAGACAGCTCACCGCCAGTAATTAGGTATGCAATTATCGCGGCACGTTTGAATTCATTAATGGCGAGTACGTTAAGGCTCTAGGCGAGCGCGTGATTTATAACGTGATGTCTAACTGATCGTAATTAATATCGCGTTACACCTGGTCCGCGTCGACCCTGCCGTTATAGTGTATCAATCATGTAGCAATTATTTCCTGAACAGTTCTTAACCCTCGCCAGTGTGCCGCGTATTTATCAATCAGTCAGCTGCGAGATCCTCATAATGTCCGCCCTTATATTATTAGACTATAAGCGTGTACTCCACGGCGACCGCGCGCGAGTAATTGGAAACTCTATACGGCTATTTAATTTACCTAGCCACCTGGCTCGATTGCGAAACAATTGCCTGGCGCCTAATTATAATTTAATCGCAACATAACCCACGTCGCGACGGCGGGCGGAGGTCTCGGGGGTGGGGGACATAACACCACTAATTCATTTGTGCGGCGGGTCTCGTCCAGTGCGCCGCCTCCAGCGATTGTTTATTCTCATAGGAGAGTTTAGGTCTCCTAAAGCAATACCGACGCTTAAACATATTAACCAAAACGTTTACGTAAAGGGTTTAATTATGCACTATACACTCTAACGTTGCTGAACGACGTCGAGTTAATTAAACCGTACATTGTTTTAAAGACGAGGGCGAATACGAGCTTTAAAATTATATAAGCTCGTACGTCTTTTTCATACAAGTTCACAATGCAAGCGCCTCTTTATTCGTTGTAGACGTTTCGTAGGTTATATTACTTGCACTAACTTGCGCAGAGTTCATCAAGTGTAATAAATATTAAAGTTACAATTCATTGTTAGAACACTCCGTATACCGCACAGCTATTTCCGCGAACTATTGCCTATGTAGGTCCGGACCTTTGTTCGTGACATAAACTATGAAACTGTCATTACAGTGTTATGATATCAATCGATTGTTTGCCAATTAATCACAGTACCTTGAAATATTTCCTGATTGTGATAGTTATGAACGTAATCCCACTGGGATTTCGACAAGTTTTACCCGTAGTTATATACATGTATTTTATTCTCATTTCACTCTTGTGAAAATTAAATTAAGTTAAAACATGCATTAACATAACGATATTAAACCATAAAATAAAATTCTGCTATTTTCTAGCTATAGTATAAATCTCAAGGAATGATATTGAAAGCGATAAATAACTTGCGCTCGTTCTAATATGTATATTTGAGAAGTTAAGTAATAACAAATACGATTAATATCTAACATCAATTTCTTCAATAAATATCACTTGTACTTCATGTAAAAGCCAAGCAACGGGCAAAAGCTGGGAGACGGTGGCGTTAGACGTGTGATACGATTTAGCACTGAACTGCTCCTGCGCCAACTCCGCATTAGCGTGAAAGCCTCCTCCGCGGGGGCGCCGCGCATTGGCCATTAGCGTGATTAGAGAGCCCCACTCGCGAATTCTTTAGGCCTCCCGTCTCATAATACTACATATTTCATTATTTATGTAAGCTCTGTTTTAGTTCAATCTACTCTCTCGGAGATTACACAAGTAATATACGTAAAGCTCATCTTTAACGTTGCCGAATCGCGTCTGTGACTCGGCGAAAGTTACTTTATTGACTGCGGAGAACGAAATTTACTGAATTGTTTGCTTTATTTGTGTGCAAACCAATTTCATTTCCTCCGCCTTGAACTATTGATACACTTAGAATAATAGTCATAATAGCTTTGAACTATATCCCAAATATTTACTAACGTATCTGTCGTGTGTTATAGAATCAGGCTATTAACGCCATTTTAACCGGCTACGGGAAGTGTCAGTCAGTTACATCAGATGTATAGCAAATTAACCAAACAGATAATGAGGATCATTTTTGAAGTAAAAATATTTTTACTTTAAAAAATTATTAAGTATATAAATATTTATTAGGGTATTTTAATAAGTTCAATATACGCGATAAAATCCGTAAAAACTAGTATTATTTTAATGTGTAGTGTTCGCGTAAATATAAGAAATTATTATAAAAATATTTAATGCCCAATAGAACAACCGCCTGAAAGAATCTGTGAGCCTGTAAAGATTTTTCAATTTCCTCTGGAAATTATTATATTATTCTATTTTGTTTATAAACACTTTAAAATATTTTTATCATAAAATTATAATGAAGTTTTTTTATCTTTCAGATGATGGCATGCTCGTACCTCAGCGCATCGGGAATGAAGGCTGAACCGTCCAGTGCTGATTGCTGGACTCCACCAAACTACACTTGTCTGCCTGAACTAGATTCGCTACCAAGCCAAATGGGACCGCCGTTCCCGAAGACTCAAATCAATGCAAACCTCAATCTAGCATGTCAGGAGCCAGCCCTGGATTTAACAACGAACTCTGCATCCCTCAAGCCCCGTCTCCCCTCTCCGAAAATTGAAGGGGACACAGAGTGAAGTGTTGTGCAACGGACAATCGGACTCATATAGGCTAATATAAAATTATTACTTTTCGCAATGCCATACTTAAGTCTTAAAAAGTGCGGTTAGTAATAATTCTTATGACGCCGGCGAGCTATTAAGTTATATTTCAGTGCACCACCAACATAGTCGTTACAAGCTTTAAAAAAGTGTATTTAACCGATTCCAGCTTAAAACAAAGAGAACAGATTCAAATAACGGCTATGTTGGCGGCTGTGCCCAATAAATATTTAATTTCGGTTGTGAAAATGGCAATTTATGTAAAACTTACTCGCTACTATGTAAATTTCTATTCGATTCTGATGAATAGCGTTATTGAGAATGAGATGTGTTAAACACAAGCGTGTTGATTCTTTTTTAAAGGTGATATCGAAATGTAATTGATGCGAATGAAGTATTATGGCATATCCTACGTAATAATGGGTTTGTTTAATAGTTAAGTGTATTTCACTCAGACTAACAAAGAAAGGTAGGCAGCAAAACACTACGCACGTTTCAAGTGACGAGTAAATCATGCTCAATTTATTGTTAGAACACACACTCACGCACCGAAAACCATGTTGTTAGTTACAAATGGTGGTATTACCTTCCATGTGACTACGACAATATGGAAAGGTCTTCAACCCTGTAATGCAGGTTTACCTGCCTACTCCTTATAAATAAAAATAAAATACAGTTGTCCCACAAGCGTTTTGCAAGGCGCTGTCGGACTATCGAATTGGTCGAACTATAGAGTACTGCCACAGCACCCTGGTAGTGCGTACCTTTTTGAAAAAGAGTACCTTGTAATGCGTCATGTTAGATTCTAGGTAGCGCGTATTAATTGCAACTTGTTTGTCCACGTATTCGCGAAGGACACCCCCCCCCCCCCCCCCCGAATCTATCTACAAGACATGTCGGATTACAAGGGGGGACGGATTAAATAAAATCATGAAATATGAGTATCATAAGTTGAGCATGGTTTGGACGTCACTTGAAATGTACATACTACGTACATTGTAATTGTGTTCAATGTTTTTATTTGTTAGTATGAGGTATTATCACGTTTAACTTTATCAGATTTCTACAAATAAAAAAATTCGTTTTAAAAATGTAGTATACATTATTAAATTGAGGCGTATGTGTACTTAAATAAGTTAGAAGTTATATCATGACAAATAGCTGCGTGCGTTTACGGATAAAGCTGTAAATAAGCGCAGTAAACATTGAACAAAGAATTTTTTAAGTATAATTGTCGTTGTATATTAAATACAATAGGCAAATCACAGACCACTATACATTATTATTTAAAAATTAAAAAATACATAAAAATTTATGCAACTATTTATTACTTTATATTAATTTAATATCTAAAATCATAAGTCACGTGTGATATTGTCAATTTTCAATTCTTGCCATTGGTTGTACCTACATTATGATCATATGCTCATACTATAAGTACATCATTTCACGTGCACACATCTCTGTGATTTGTAATCTTGCGTGTAAATAAAATCTCGAATAAATTTGTTATTTCGTTTATAATGACGCGCTGTTACTTAAACTTATAATGATTGCAACTTTATTATTATTCATTGAAATTGTACATATTAGTATAAAGAATCTAGACTTAAGTAGACTCATCTTGTACCTAAAAGTTTAGGCGCGAGCTTCGTAGCAATAATTTTCGATGCCAACATTGAAGTTTTTACTCGTGTTCTAATGGACTCTGTATATATTGAATTATTAAACTGTTCTACCATCAAATAAAGTTGTTCGAATCGATTTTCAATGTAAACAGTTAGTGTAAGCTATCTTAAACGCTGACATTCCTTCTTGTTATTAAATGTTTAAAAAATATTTTTTTTCATTTACGCGCTAAACGCGAATTTTTTTTTAATAGTGTCTCATTCAGATTTAGCAATTTGACAGATTAAATAAGACGCTTCATAATTTTATCCCTACCATTTATTATTATGGTTCAACAAACTATTGACATAACTAATGTTAGCGTTTAGCAACTCTTGCCATCTAAACATGTATGTTTACTTTACTGATTGAAAATGGCACATCTTGAGGGTTGGTACATTAAAAAGGAATTGCAAAAATTCTCAAAGTTACATATTTACCGACGTACGGTAGTTATTGTGCTCTCAAGGCTGTAGCAAATCTATTTAGAAGAGAATTACAGTTATGGTGTTACCAGTACTTACACAAAGAAGAACATTGCAACTATCTAGCCTAAGAATTACGACGTCAGGAAGAGAAATTAAATTTTGTAAATTAATGAATTGTTTTATTTATCGCACTGAAATATAAACTAACAAAACAATTATTGTTTATTATTCAATAAACAGAATTCAAAAACTTTGCAAAATCAGTAAAGATGATTTTGTATCGTATCGTATCTCAGGTCCGGTAATTGATGGATAACCTTACAATGGCTAACCGACAAAATCTAATAGGCATTTCATCTTATTTCTCAGCTGAGGGTGACGCATCTACATTTTAATTCTTAACCCAAGATAGATGTAATTGTCTATAGACCACAGCATACTTTTACCATCTCGAGGACTTTAAATCACCTTTACCATTACCATTACAGCTTATTAAGTCCAATGTTGAACATAGGCCTCCACATAAATTGGTATACTACTACGTATTGGCAACTGTGGCAAAATATTTGCCATGCTTTCCAGGCGTGTTGGCGACCGCGTTTTTTATTTTCTAGTTGCTGGAATATGCTGATGCTCATCTCCTGGTTTTCTTCTCTTGTCGCCACCTCTTACGACACCCACGGTACGATATGAAGTAGTTTCATAGAACGCCACTACACAGTTATCACCTTTACTTGTATCAAGATAGATTTCTAACATAACAAGATGGGATTATAGAGAATGAAGAGTATTTCAATGGAATGCGTAAATTATTTATTTATTATTATTGTTATTTATTTGTTTCATCATCATTACAGCCCTTCACAAATCCACTGCAGAACATAGGCCTCCCCCAAGGAATGCCACAAAGCACGATCCTGAGTCAATTTGACCTTCTCTTCCAAGTGACCACGAAACTGCACGTCACTCGATATGTCAACGCAGAGGATTCCGATACTGGCTGAGGCAATAAGGGGAGTACCTTGAAACTGAGGAGATACGACGAAGGGGTTGTTTTTAGCGGTAAATGTGAAACTTGTGTCTTCTGGGGATTAAACTGGACTGGATTTAGTCGCTCACAGTCCGAGACTTTGTACAAAAAAGTCTCGACTTCAGACACAAGTATGTCCCGGTATTCATCGACGTTTTCTCGAGAAATATTGGCACTTGATTTGACATTGCGGTGTCGTCTGCATAGCAATGAATGTTACCGATTTTCAACATATCATTGATATGCAGAAGAAACAGTGTTAGTGATAGCCTTGTGGAACACCAGCGTTTATGGGCTTGTAATCGGAGTATGCACCGTCTACTACGACCTTGATGGAGGCAAGAAAACTGGTGATCTAACTGCACAACTTCTCGGAAAGCCCATAGGAAGGAAGCTTTATAAGAGGCGTTTTGTGTCAATCCCGATCGAAGGCCATCGCTATGTCCAAACTAACGGTCAATGCCTCCCCCTTAGACTCTACTGCCTTCGCCCATTTATGAGTTAGGTAACCTAGAAGATCACCAGCCGAACGACCGCGACGGAAACCGTACGGGCGGTCACTAATCAGCTGGTGTTCCTCTAGGTACCACATGAGCTAGCTGTTAATAATAGATTCCATTATTTTAGAGAACAAGGCGGTGATGGCGATAGGCCTATAGTCGGACGGATCAGAGCGGTTACATTTTTTTAGGGTTCGGGTGCACGAAGGCTGTCTTCCATGATTTCGGGACTACGCCAAGGAGTAGGAGTACCGGAAAAGACGCGTTAAGACCGGTGCCAACTCTGGAGTACACGTCGCCAGCACAATAGGAGGGACGCCATCAGGCTCACTCGACTTGTTAATGTCCAGGGAGGGGAGTGCTCTGCGCACTGAGCGTTGGGTAAACCGCACATCCTGCATGGAGCACTCACACTGCGGGATGGTCGGTGGTGTGTTCCCCCCGTCATCAAGAATCGAGTTGGACGCAAAGAGAGCCCAGCAGATCGGCTTTGTCCTTTGCGGCATGGGCCAGTGAGTCGTCCTCCCTGTGGAGAGATGGGAGAGATGGGTGAGAGAAGTTCCCTTGGACAGCCTTGGCGAGAGACTAGAATGCACGTGGCAAAATTACACTTATTTTTAAAAGCGCTGGTATTTATGTACTTACATCCCGAGACGTCGATGCGCGAGTCCAGGCCTGGTAGCTCTTGCTTATGACGTAATGCGATTGTGCGGGAGCGACCAAATCATCGCTGGGTTCTGCCTCCGATAGGTACCACAGATGATGGAATAAAAAGTTCCATTACCTGTAGCACCACATAGCGACATAGCGTACATAGCGTAGCGACATAGCGACAGAATCAGCAACAACGCCGGGATCATCTGGCGAGAAGTAAACCCGCCTCCAAGGGTAGGATGAAAAAAAATGATCGCATCCCGTCTCAATTAGCCGACCTAAAACGCCAAACACGGCGGCAACCTGCAGTATGCAACCGCGATGGGAGCGTGAGCAGCACCGTACTCCGGATCAGACAATGGTCCGAGGAGCCAATAGGGGCATAGACGGAGACCTGATATCCGTCCGGATGAGAGGTCAGCAAAAGGTCCAACAGGGATGGAATCTTCCACATCTGGGATCAGCGTTGACAAGATAACCAGTTGTGTGAGAACATATGCCAAAGCAAAGTCATAAACAGATCTACCCGCATGATTGGTTAAACGAGAACCAAGCCATTCAGCGTGGTGGGCGTTAAAATCACCAAGCATCACGATCTCTGTGGATGGGACCTGTGGCTACCTGTTGTAGCATGGAGTCTGCAGCCATTTGGACGTGGTCGATGAGTCGCTCTGTGTCGACATTACCGGTATGGGA